GCTACAATCTTCAAAAAATTAAATGAAACGTCAATCCTCATCTTCTCTTCTCCTTTATTTATTGTCATTTTCCACATTTCTCTTCATTAATTTCTCCTCATATTCTTTCACTACCTGTAACCAGTTTCGTCTTGGGGGCTTCATCGCCTTGCGTAGAGTGAAATGATTCCCATCAAACAGTATATTTTTTGTTATAGAACGGACTCCTGATTGAGTTGTTGCTTTCCTGACCCATACGATCTTAACAGCTTCAAGTCTCAAGTCAGCCTATATATTTAACCTATATATTCTCATAATAGGTACTTCTTCTCCTACCCCGTAACATCCCCACTTAAACTACCTCATTTAGTAACCCTATATATATATATATATATATATATATATATATATGTGTGTGTGTGTGTGTGTGTGTGTGTGTGTGTGTGTGTGTGTGTGTGTAAAAAGGGGAACATTGAAGTCAACACAGACGCATTTATCAGTCTTTGGGTTTTTTTCGACTATTTATATATATGTCGTTTGTGGTGCATTGTGGGTAGTATATTCTAAAGGTTAATTTGTCGGGAGTTGTTTCTTTATTTGGAGCAATTTATGTTGCTTGTTTTTTATTTGTATTTTATATATTTATTTATAGATTTCCGTTTTCGATGTTTTTGAAAAGTAGCAAAAAACTTTTTAAGATTATTTCTGATCGTTTATTTAATAGTTTGTTTTGGTCTGGGAAGGTAATTTTTGAATCGATTGTTGTAGACTATTCCAACTCTTATTTTGAAAGTAGTGGTTTGTTAATTTGTTATATATATTTTTTTTTTGGATTGATTATTTTTATTTATTCTTGCCGTTATTTTGGCGGGAGCGGTTTGTTAATTTATTTATTTGGTTTTATTTATTTTACCTTTTTCTTATTTATTTTTATTTTATATGTTGTTATTTATTCTTTCGGTTTTCGAATTTTAAGTAACGTCGGAAAAATTTTTGAGATGTGTTCTCAGCGTTTATATAATAGTTTGTTATCATCTAGGAAGTTAATTATACCTATTTCGTGGAGTTTTGGGATTGATTGTTGTAGTCAGTCATTTTAGCGGGAGTGGTTTGTTAATTTGTATAATATTTACTTAATTTATTTATTTGGACTGATTATTTTTACATGCATTTTCTTATTTATTTTTTATTTTTATTTATTCTTCATCTTCATATATATATATATATATATATATATATATATTCCTATTCCAAGCTATGCATATTGCCCACCACTACGACGAGGACCAGTCCATTATGGTTACCTGCTAGATTGTCCTACTCGGTTGCAGTAGTCAACAACCACTTTGCTACTTCGAACACATATATCCCTTTCCGAGACATATTAATAGGTAAAATCCAGCATATCATGTACATTGGGGCAGGTGAATTTTTTCACTTCTTTTAAAAAACTGACATTGCACTGAGTGAAAAATCTGGTGTTTCAGGTGATAAGTAGTTTCACCAAGAAAATATATCTCTTATCTTTTGAGCATTTAGTTATAAAGATCGTTTGAATATAATGTACAGAAATGCCTAATTTCCGCAGGTCTTGGCTTCAAATTTGATGATTTCAAGAATAAATGCTAATAAAGTTGATATATTTGTAATAAATACATTGAATAAAACGTATATTCAAGTGAGAATTCAAATTGTGAATCAACACAAGCAAAATAAACAATTTTTGAAAGTATTCGATGAAAAAAAATTGTCAAAAAATTTAAAAAGGGCTGCACAATGAATAAAATTTTGTTACTTATTATAAAACACAGGTTGCACGAACCCGCGCGCGTGTGTGTCTCTGTTCGTTTATATATTGGATCGGATTTCCTACATTTTTCAACCGATTTCAACAAAACTTCACAGGACTACGTAAAATTCCATTGCGGTGCTTCTGACAGCGCCCAAAATTTGAAAATCACAATTGTTTTTGCACGAAATCAATTTGAAAACACGATTAAGAGGCATCACTGTCGCCACAATGAAAGGGAGACAACTCATATCGAGTTATACTTATTATGAAACCCAGGTTGCTTGTGTGTGTGTGTGTGTGTGTGTGTGTGTGTGTGTGTGTGTGTGTGTGTGTGTGTGTGTTCGTTTATATATGGGATCGGATTTTCTACATTTTTCAACCGATTTCAACAAAACTTTTTTTTGGCAGGTAGTGTTTCTTATTGTCTTGCACACTTTTTTCTTTATTTTTCCATTCAGAATGCTTTAAAAATTCCATTCACAAGACAATTGTTTATAATAAATTCTATTCAATCGGTAGACTCATAACAATTGAAAACAATGTTTTTGTTTGAGTTTGGGTTTGACTAATTTGTAAAAAAAAAACAAAAAAACAAAAAAAAACTAATTAAGACATGCGGACACGCATGTCTTAATTAGTTTTTTTTTTTTTTCAACCTTAAACAATAATCTTTGTCAATTTTATTTTTCAGACTTTATGATGGTCGATACTTGATCTATCTCTTACTGTTACATCCCCGGGCAACGCCGGGCTCTACTGCTTGTAATTAATAAAAGAAAAAATAGAATATCTAACACGATATTATGTTTTAAATTTGCATTGTGTATTGAAAATCATACTAAAACTAGTATAATATATTGCATCGTAATGTACCTAAGTGTTCAGTATAAAGTCCCTTTGAAGTAAATGAAGGTTTTATTTGATGTAACAATGGTAGAGTAATAATGTTCAGTAAATTATCAATTTTATAAGGCCGTGCTATAAGGCTTCATTGATCATTGAAAGGAAATGCCAACGTTAAGATTTTGAGAATAAACTTAACCAGAGTTTGTCTGACTTTGAGAATGTTGTGCTTGGCCAAGAATTGGTGCACAACATTAGTCAATGTGGTGTGGTTAGACAGCCGCATTCTACACACTTTCCGAGTGGCCGAGAATGTTTTCTTCAAGGTCAATCTGAACCAAACTGCTTCACTGCGCGTATTTTAGCTCCATTACAAATGTCCCAGTACGTGAACAGACCTCTCTTTCTCTATCTTTCACTGTCTCTCTCTATATATATATATGTATATATATACATGAATTATTCACACAAAACTAATGCAAAGGTTAATGATTTAAATGGCAATCCATCTAAAACAATTTAAATAGTACACAAAAACCTCCAGATCCGTTATGAATGAATTGATCCTTGTTTCTATAAATTTCTGCCGTATTAGTTGTTATTTTTTTTTACTACAAGCTTTCGTCTGTTCCTACAGACATCTTCAGGTATATAATAGATGTTGTTCTTGTTTTTTTCTCTTAGTAATAAGAGGACATCGAAAATATATGTGTATTGTATCCGAAATGCTATTGAAACAGGTAGGAACAGACGAAAGCTTGTAGTAAAAATAACAACTAATACGGCAGAAATTTATATAAACAAGGATCAATTCATTCATAACGGATCTGGAGGTTTTTGTGTACTATTTGAATTGTTTGCGAGATGGATGTCTCGCCATTTAAATCATTAACCTTGCATTAGTTTTGTGAATAATTCATGTATTTGTAAATTGATTGCACGTTTATTATATATATATATATATATATATATATATATATATATATATATATATATATGTATATATATGGATATGTATATATATATATAGATATATAGATATACACACATACATACATACATACATATATATATATATATATATATATATATATATATATACCCTTGGCAAAGGTATGAATCCTTTTTTCCCTCTAGCTGTTGGTAAATAGCAGGACAGACTGGGTTCTATAGCCTTGGATGGCAACTGGTCTAGGTGAAGGGCAACTCTGAATTCAAAACCTGCCGAGGGTCGTTTGGGGACCTTGTGGCACGTAGTGCTCCAGGTCTCTGTATTCAGCGCTTCAAAAAGTGTCGATGGACCTACACGAAACCTTCACCACTATAATCAATTCTCATGTGCTGATTTCTGGGCTTTCGGTTCCTAGGAATTTAGCTGCTTGACCCCTCATACGTTGAATACGACGGAGAGTCCAATATATATATATATATATATATATATATATATATATATATATATATAGTGTGTGTGTCTGTGAGTAAAATAGAGAATCGCAAAATAGTACAAGGCAAAATCTGATAATAAATAAAAGCGAAAAGTTGTGTACGTTGTTTATCTTCACTTGACCTGATAAAGTCAAAGGGCGAAACGCGTTGGCAAGAGCTAGTATATATATATATATATATATATATATATATATATATATATATAAATGACAATAAAAAGCTGTAATAGTTGACGACGCGTTTCGTCCAATGTGGACTTTCTCGACGAAACGCGTTAGCAACCATTACAGTTTTGTAATTGTCTTTTATATTTATAAATATTGTCTTTTCTACAGGTTAACTCTGAAAATTTTTATATATATATATATATATATATATATATATATATATATATATATATATATATATATATATATATAATAATAATCAATGAAGCCTGGCACAAAACAGGGTGAGATTTCAGAGAAAAGAATAAAAGATGAAATAATTATCACGATAATCCCAAAATATTAACACTGAACAATTTAGGCTAGAAAAGCTACCAAGAGAAAAGAATTAGAATATATGAAGTTAAATTACGTCTGTATGTTCAGATCGTAATTATATATATATATATATATATATATATATATATATATATATATATATTCCAAAATCTACATGCGTATACTCACACACATCCAAGCATACAAACACGCAAAAACACAGACACACACAGAGACACGGGGGCACACAAAGAGAATGAATTAACCTAATACAAATAATAAGGAAGAACTATTTTTAATTGTTCAAATTATAAAACAGTTGGTCTACGAAACTCTGGAGTTGGGCGGCTGAATATAGCATCAATCACGTAAGAGATAACATTTATTTATATTCCTCCTTTCCTTCTCTCTATATAACGAGTACTTCAGTTAATATTTTTAATTCACATTAATCTATGTATCTCAATTCACATCTATCTATCTATCTATCTATCTATCTATCTATCTATCTATCTATCTATCTATCTGTTTCAATTCACATGCATCTACCTTTCTATGTCAATTAATATCTATGTATTGCTCTGTTTCTCTCTGTGTATCTATATATCCGTTTTGTCATATATATATATATATATATAAAATACTCAGTATCAAGAATAGACTGTATGTAAACATTGAAGTTAAACACAGAAGCCACAGTCTGTTTCAGTCTAAATGAAATGGCCAAATGAAATACATATATATATATATATATATATAGAGAGAGAGAGAGATAGATAGATAGATAGATAGATAGATAGATAGATAGATAGATAGATAGATTAGCTGGTTGTTTTGAGTGCATATTCTTGTATGTGAGTGTGCTGGAATGTATGTATGAGAAAGCATTTCCGTTTTGATATCTAGACAAAAATAAAAAAATAAAAACCATGAAATTCAAATCGTTGTGAAAGCCGCTAAGATTCGGCAAATAATACTTGTAAAATCTCTCCATTTTATTCAAATATTAAGCATTTTATTATCGAAATCATGAGGTTGTTTAGTATTGCTGCTAGTATCTGCCATTCTTTCCTAACAGGATTTGTTCCTCCAGTGGTCTCCGTCTCATACCAGTTTGGTATTAATATTAATAAACATTACCGCTTGTACTCTCTCTCCCCACCAGTTCTTCCTCCCCTCCCCCTAGCACCCCGCCCGACTGTTCTCCATTTGAGTCGCCTGTTGCATCCGAGAGAGAATTTCTGCCTTATCGTGTTCTCGTGTTTCGTTTACTTCAGCTAGCGTCCCAGAATCGGATCCGCCCACCCCCAAAATTTGGACAAGTCAGACCGCCTACAAAATTCTGAATGAGTACCTTCTCTGACGTTTTAGCGTAAGTCACTAGCGAACCGAAGGTTAGCCGGAGTGAATGAATGAATGAATGAATAAATGAATGAATGAATGAAATGGTAAAATGTAGAAAAGAGTACAATGAAGAAAGAATGAATGAATGAATGACTTTTTTATGAATGAAGGTGCGGGGCCAATATATTTCATGTCCAAACAGTGAAGGCATGTATGCCTGGGCCCGAATTGATCTTCGTGACTACCGTCGATTTTGCAAGCATAAAGTATAAAAGAATGAAAACCAGCTATTCTATTGAGGAATAAATTACGTAATTTTAATTTCGTTACGTGCTTTTTTTTTCTCAATGGATGTCAATGATCGTGTGTAAAGCAACAGCGTTCGATACACAGAATGGCGGTTTGTGAATTACATCAGGAATAAAATCGATAATATATTTGGTGTACCCGTTAACAACACAAGTTAAGCAATACTCTGCTCGATCAGAAGGAAATTGGTGATATAATACTATTTCAGTAGCGTTGCTTCATAGCGATTGCTAATTTGGGAGATTCGCAACCGATTGCTCGAGTGTGCTTATATACGAGGTCGGCGTAGCAAAAATCGGGCGTGCCAGGGGACTAATATTTCTATGTGTCTCACTCTGTCTATGTATATATCAGTGTTGCTATATATATATATATATATATATATATATATATATATATATATATATATATATATAGAGAGAGAGAGATAGATAGATAGATAGATAGATAGATAGATAACACTTTAGATATCCATCTTCACATCTATCAATGTGACGGTTCATACGTGTATATTTCTCTCTTTGTAGGTATCGCTCAGTCCGTGAATCTATCTATCTATCTATCTATCTATCTATCTATCTATCTATCTATCTATCTATCTATCTAATGTTGTTTCTATCTATCTATCTTGCTATCTATCTATCTATCTATTTATTGTTGTGCTAATCCACGCATATCTACGTAATTCTATGCTGTCTGTTTATTTCTCTATTAGTGGCTGTCTAACTCTTTTTTACTATTCAGTTTCCATTTATATCTATCTATCTATCTATCTATCTATCTATCTATCTATATATATATATATATATATATATATATATATATATATATATAAATATATATATATATATATATATATCTCTCTCTATCTATATCCATCTGTCCCCCCCAAAAATCTATCTACATGTCTAATTTGTCTATGCATATATCTATCTCCTCCAATCTATCTCAGTCTGTTCATATCTATCTATCTATCTATCTATCTATCTATCTATCTATCTATCTATCTATCTATCTATCTATCATCTCCGTCAGTCTTTTGCAATGTATCTATCTATAAGAGTCGGTTCCTGTCAGTCAATATTTCTCTCTCTCTCTCTCTCTCTCTCTCTCTCTCCCTATCTATATATTTATTTATCTATCTAGCAAGCTAGCTGTCTTAATCTGCCCATATCTATCTATCTATCTATCTATCTATCTATCTATCTATCTATCTATCTATCTGGCTGCTCTCTTATCAAAACACGATGAGTATAATATATGAAAGCAACATAAGGATTCAAAATTTAAATGCAGCCGACATTAGGATGAAGCAGTCATGTCACTTTGCACAAGTAAGATGCGCATATATGTACGTGTGTGTGTCTGCGCGCGTCTGTGTATATATATATATATATATATATATATATATATATATTTATTTATTTTTTATATGTATGTATATAAAATACTATATATCAATTTAAATTCGCATCTATCTATCTATCTATCTATCTCAATTCACTTGCATCTACTTCTCTATCTCTATTTATATCTATTTATTTCTGTCTATTTGTCTATCTATCTATCTATCTATCTATCTATCTATCTCAAATCAATTGCATCTATCTCTCAATCTCAATTCATATATGTGTTTCTCTTTCTGTCTCATTCTCTGTCAACCTATATATACGTTTTTATCATATATATATATATATATATATATATATATATATATATATATATATATATAACACTTCATAGATCTATCTACCTATTCTATCCATGTTTGACTGTCAATGTTAACATCTATATGTTTGTCTCTTGGTCTATCTATCTATCTATCTATCTATCTATCTATCTATCTATCTATCCGTATATATATATATATATATATATATATATATATATATATATATATATATATCTGAGTCTGTTTCTATCTATCGCTACATGTAAATAAAGAGAAATGATATGAGAGCAAATGAGCAGGAGTGAAAAAGAAGAAAAATGTGGTCATTTTTTCTTTCATACAACTTTTAAAACGCATCGGACATAAATGGTTACCATTTATATATATATATATATATATATATATATATATATATATATATATATATATATATATATTTCACTAGCACGCAAGGGGTTACAGAGAGTTGGAGCTAGAGCAAATAGGAGTGATAGAGGAAAGGATGAAGAGAAGGAGAGGAGATAGATCAGGGCATCTGGAGACGTCGATTGACATTACATTTGAATAGTTGGAGATTATAGCTATCAGGGAGACAGGAAAAGGGGTGGGATTTCCACAGGCGAGAGGTGTGAGACCTGAAGCTATTGGAGTAGAAGAGACGGCTACATTTAAGTTTCGACAGTGAAAGGGTGAGAGTGAGATGCCAGTCTAGTAGAACGCTTAAATTCATGAAGTCTGGGAAACAGCGAAAACAACTCATCGGAACAGTTACCATGAGGGTATTTGTAAAAAAAAAGACAGAGGGAGGCGACGGCACCTATGTGAAAGAATGGCTGCAGACGAGATACCAGATCGGGGCCAATTATATTTCATATCCGTCTCTGGATTTTATCAAGGACATTGAGGCACACAGAAGGGGCTCCAGCGTATATATTGCAGCAATACTTCATCGGCAGGAGTTCCAAATAAAGAAAGAAAAATGTCAAATTCGTTGCGAAAAGTAGAATAGTCGTGACGGTTCCAGTTTCCAAGCTATTCTGTTGGGCCTTCTTTAGCCCAAATAACGACGGGAAAGTCATCAAAAGGCATGAACCGTCTCTACATGTTGACTTATTGACTTATATGACAGTACACAATATCGTCATTCGTGGTTAATGGTCTATGAGAATAAGACTCTGAATTTAATAAAAACATACGGCTTATGTTAACTTCCAAGAAAATGATTCATTGCGTTTCTATGGCTGGCATTTTTATTTTTTCTGTTGAGATGAAGTAAATGATGATATTGTATTAATTGCTAGGCCTGCTTCTAAGAAAATTGGTTCACAGATAATAGTACTAGACAATTGACAAAATCTATGTTACATATCTATATGTCTGCAATTTTATTGGTCCTGACCTGGCAACTCGTTCTCAGTCACTTTCCAACCGCCGTAACGTGCCTTTTCTACGCTATTTTTATAAAAGTTTTCATGGTACTTGTTCTGGTGAATTTCCCTCTATGGTATCTAGAATTGCTAGTTTGGTTTCATCATTTTACTATTGAGCTCTTTAGAGGTAACCGTAAGTTCTATGGTAACCGTTTCTTTTCTACCACATCTCGGTTATGGAAATCTCTTCTGGGTTCTTGCTTCCCAGTGAAATTTGACCTTACTTCGGAAAAACGCACTTTTATTGCGCAGGAGGGTGTCGTCAGTGATGTAATTATTCAGGTCATTGGGTAGTTTCGGGTCTTACAACTTCATACCATCCTCGCTGAGTCGACCTCGTCAGAGCTGATCAGGCTCCGACGCACTCTCCTTCTGTACCATGCTATGCGACACTGATTTTTATAATTGTCTCAGCCGACTTGCACTTGATACTTAGCAGGATATACATAGGAAACGTCCATAGCGCTCAGGTAAGTTGGGTTATTCAAAAAAAAAAAAAAAAAAAAACCCGACGGAAGAAATTTTGTTAATTTGTTGCCAGTTTTTTAGTTTTTTTGCTTAACCGATTAAAATAAATCTACTTAGATTTGTAGGAATTTTTAAGGGTTTTTAGCTCTTGTCTGAATTCTTTGATTTTCATTTCTCTCCGATTTTCTTTCCTAATAGCGCTCTTTCTTTCTTTTGTGTACCCAAAACGTTCTGCACCGTAAGTGAAAATAATTTTTAACATTGTCTGGAGTCGTCGGTCTACTGACCCTTTACTTACGGTGTTAAGAACGTCGCAGATGTCCGTATCGAATTCTTGCCAAGTTTGTTTTTTCTGCGGCTGCTGGCCATTTTATTTTCTTGTGAAACGCCGAGCTTCTTGTTATGAGGGAGAAATCATTACTAGCCTGGAGAGACTGGGAACTGTGGTGAGCTTCCTGGCCCTGCTTCTCCTCCGTCTGACCAGGAGAAGTTCCTGTGCGTTGCGTTGATGTTATCTCCCTCTGACATTTCATTCTGGCCTGGTGAATTCACAAACCGCGTATATTTTTGCAGCTTCTTCCGCATAGGCATGTCAAACTCATGGTCCGAATATTCGTATCGTAAGTCGTGTCCGGGCGAGACGTCCTGTTAGGGGTCTCATTCTCTCCCCCTCTCGGGACCCCTTGGGAGTATTAATTCGTCTCATCGTTTTTAGCAGGGTTTTTAGATCCACATGGTGGGGTGCTAACCCGGCCATGCTTCTTAAAAAATATAATTGCAATTTCAATCGTTATCACCTGACTTACTAATAATTGTTCTTATACTACACTTTCTCCGTAATAGTGTTTATTTTTCATATTTTTAACAGTCGGTAACACCCTGTGTTTTAGTGGCTTTATTGCCTTGTTTAGGTGTGAAATGTCCTTAGATCTCTTCTGTTTTCTCTACAACCATAATGCGTGGTACAGAAATATAGTCATTAGAATTTTATAAAACCGGAAGGACAGATTTAAACGTGAAATCATCATGATTCAGACATTTTGGAAGAAACTTGAACACAGACCTCAGATCTGTTTGATTGTATATTTGATTCTATTCCATTCCCCACCCTAAAAGAATCTATCAACAGAAGTCAACGATCACGATTTCCCTTCCTTAGACAATGTACTAACGATCATGATGATGGAGGCTTTGCCGATGACATAGTTATTCATAGTTGGGATAACAATGATCTTAAACAAAACAATCTACACCCTCAATGAGGTGTAACAAGAAATGTGACTCGAGACAAATCTTTCCAAAACAGAAATTATGATGAAACCTACGATCATAAAATTATTACTCCATCCTATTACTATATGTATTTTTAGTTAATTTTTTTTTATATATAAAATGAATTGCTAGTATCCGTTCTATAAAAAAGGCATTTTTTATAATTTCATAGTGTTTTGTTGTAGGGTTTAGTAGAGACCAAAACAAGTGCTACCGCCCCATGTCATGTTAGGCTTTGAACAAAAGCAATTAAGAGGTAGCTCATCGCTCATCAAAACTTCCTATTTCCCAGTCAGAAACCTTGCTGTCGGGCGTAGTTTATCGTCATACCAAGGAAATCAAGTTAATTGCGCTCATATATATATATATATATATATATATATATATATATATATATATATATATATATATATATATATATATTGAATTTTGTAGGTCTGCTGAATTGGATCGTATTTACGATTCCGATGGAATAAATTATGACCATGGAATATTAGTGTTTAAGCCTTTTTATTATATCCTTACTCTGTCCTGGACATTGAGTTCTACCTGGATTCTATCCTCTTGGAATTTTTTATTCAAAAAATATGCATATATGTGTATGCACCTATGTATATATATCTATATATTTTGCATATGTATGTGTATATTTACCACTAATATTATCTATATATATATATAAGCAATATGTCAGCAGTCAATATACTACATAACACTCTTGAGAGCTTAGCCTTGGAGAGGGTAGAATGGAGATCAACGTGTTTTCGTAGACTCAGCAGTTTTCAATCTGCCTGTCTGAATCATCTTCAAGAATCGAGAGCAAGATCTAAAAGGTCAGCCAATCTAACAGTGATCTCATCCCACAATCCTTACTCTTGCCTCCTTTGTAAATCACTAGCGGGTCTTATGTACCACTTAAGATTATCGCAGAAAATTTCATAACTGAATCAATTAAGCTGTCAGATCTTCATACGTCCATTATATATTAATAGTAGTACTCGTTTGGAAAACCTCGGATAGCTCAACTTGCAAAAAAAAATTGTAAAAAAAAGAAGGAACTAAAAAGATCGGAACAAGACGAAACAAATCGCCAAGTGCTTTAAGTCCTTAGGCCAAAGAATCTGCCCCCCCCCAAAAAAAACAGTTTACCCTGAAAATGCGTTTAGATGAAACCTAGGTAGGTTTGCCTGGATTTATTCTGGTACACACACACACACACACACACACACACACACACACACACACACACACACACACACACACATATATATATATATATATATATATATATATTATCTGATTATTATGTGCTCGGGCGGTTAACAAATTCATGCTACAACGGTCTCAATTGTTGTGAAGGACAACAGTACGAACAAGGTATATAGTGTAAATAGTTACAATACCTCATCTCAGAAATGAAGA